TAGTTCTTATAAATATTAATAAATAAAATTAGTCATGGCGAGACCCGTCGACATTTAAAAAAAAAAAAAAAAAAAAAATCTATTATATCTATTTAGGTTACTAATTCTAAAAATTCAAACCATAAATAAGATTTTAAATTTCTATATAAGTTAATTGAAATCTCTAATAGAATTGAATTTTTACCTTTATAGGACATTTCACTGCCCAAGTGTATAACTTTTAGTTGCAATATAACAATGCGGTGGGATATACAGATTCTATATACCACTTCACTCTGCATATAAACCATGTGCCTATTGTACCCTGTTTTTGATATATATGAGTGTTGCCAAGGAAATATTACTACCAGGTTTTTAAAGAGCTAAATCTTATAGATAATATATAAATGGTATTAATTTAAACTTTATTAAATAGGTTTGATATTTTTTCATGTTTAAAAATGTAATTTTCAAGGTGAAACCTGTGATGTGAATAGTTCATGTGATTATGTGAGCATTAACTTATACTCTAAACACTCTAAACCCACAACTTTCAAAAATAATAACACTAAGTCCACCTTTAATTAATTGTATAGCTCATTGTTAAGCACCTGTAATATTTATAAAAATTTGTGTGGAAAATATGATTCAGTGTTGTACTAATGGATATCAAAAGTACATATTGTAATACTAATTGTGACAAATTTATAAATGTTTTGAAAAGGTATGAAAATAGATGAAAATAATCTACAAATGAAGTATTAAAATACAGAAATTAAATAATACTTTAAATAAGGGTAACTAATATATACTTTAGGCATTCTCAGAAACTTCAATTAATGGGCAAAGGTATATCAAATATGTGACAAGAATTATATTTAATAGATCAGTTGAGTTTTTTAATAATATAAGGAAGATAGCTTATTGCATAAGAAAAAAAAAATTTTAAATAGATTTCATTATCGGCACACATTTTTTGTTAAATTTGATAAACTATTTAGAATTCTCCCAAGCAGTGATTTAAATCTTTACTTTAATCTATCATTGCAATTGAGCATCATTACAATTACAGACAATTACAGGGAAAATCACAGTAATAGCAATATGGATGTTCTTTAGAATAGGTAGGCAATATAAAAAATAAACTCTGCTAGCAATTAGTAATTATTAATAAATATTTAGAGGAGTTGTAGAGTTTGTGGAGTTTGCCCACCTATTCTATAGAACATTCTTAATTTGGCTACTGTAATTAGGACTTTTAAAAGTAATTTTGGTCTAGTGGTTAGTATATAAATATCATAAACTAATTTATATATATATATATACTATCTAATGCAGGGTTTGTATATTTTAACGATTTTAATTGGTAGAATGTAAGTATATTAAACGGAATTTGAATTTCAATTACGAAATGCATATTTGCATATTGAGAGGTAATGTCGTGGGAATTAAATTTGATGTGGTATTCTTAAATTCTTAAATTCTTAAAAAAATATATATATATATGCGATATAATATTTTATATCACAATTTTACAAATTTTACAAATTAGTTACAATTAGTTAAAATTTTTACGATTTTGATTGGTAGAATATAAGTATATTAAATGGAATTCGAATTTCAATTACGAAATACGTGTTTGCGTATTGTGAGATAATGTCATAGGAATTAAATTTGATACGGCATTCTTAAATTCTTAAATTCTTAAAAAAAAAAATAAAAAAAAATATGCGATATAATATTTTACATCAGAATTTTGTCAAATTTTACAAATTAGTTAAAATAAGATAAATCAAATTTGTTAGATAATATAAAAGTTAAATGTCATCAATCGACTATCATAATTGACTGTTGAAATATAATGAATTTTCTTGATATAAACTATATATAAAAATAACGAATTTATCAAAGGGACTCTTTCCAACGATCACTTGAACCGAATTTCCTAACAACAAGAAAAGCCTTTTCGATACTGGAGAGTAGTAATAACCTGTAGTGAGGTGAATTAACAGAGCGGTTTTTATAAAGGTTAACTTTCTCTACTTGTCAGGAACTTTCGATATGCAAGCCAAAAGCATCAGTATACAAGATAACTGGCAGTTGATGGTGCCCTTGTATACGAAATTTTGGTGAATAGGTAGAGGTGATAGAAGTTCAAGCCTACCGTCGACAAAGCTATCAGTTGCAGAACAACTGGAGAACAGTAAAAAATGAGTTTTTCTCAAGCCGCTCTCTTTTATTTGGTCTCTCTTTTACTTTTTCTTGTCTCCTCATCAGTTTTCCAAAAAATTTCGATAAAATGTAGAGATTTGGCTTACCCTCTCCAAAAGATCAGCATTGTTTACATCCCAAATTGGATGGACTAGCGGAATGCAACCACATGTTTGTTTATAAACAGATACGGCGCTACTTCACTGGGAACTCTAATCACAGCAGTAAGTGGCTTGAGATATGGGTCTTTCTTGGGTTAGGTTAAGTGTAACTCTCAGATGATGGCAGCACCTGGCTCGAGATATGAATTAGAACAGGAAACAAAGCGATTCAGAGTTGATGAGAAGATCAGAAAGTAACTTTAACGTTAAGGCGAAGCCTTACAAGAGAGATATACAAGCATTGCACTTGTTATACAATTTTTACCATCCATGCACAGGTTATAATAGTGCCTTTAGGATCTTAGATTTTTTTTTATGTTTTTTCTTTTTTGCAATCTGTTTTTCTTTTTTCTTGTTTTGTAGTTTTTTCTTTTTTGGTCATTTTCATATGTTCTTTGTTTAAACATTTTCCCCTTTTGTCTCATGCCCCTTGAGAAGAAGGAAGAATTGAGTTGGGAGCTGAGCCCAAGCTATATTATATCTTTAAATGCAGCATACCGTATGTGGGGTATAGTGGCAATCATCAGTGTAATAACCAAAGTTGAGCATCTTTAAGAGACAGCCGGCTTTTAGTCTAATCAAACATTAAGTATTTTAATCTTGTATTGAATGTCAAACCTTAATAAAATTTTAGTACATAGTTATCAAAGGAAAAAAATATATATATAAAAATAACGATATAAATAAAAATTTAGTGACAAAAATCTATACAATCAAAATTTTATATATATTACGACATTCTATATCAGCTTGTGACAAACTTAATAATTATTATTGGCTTGAATAAACGTAGCTGATATACAAATATTCAATTTTACATTTGACAACATAGTTAACAAAAAATAGAGATTTTGTTTTACAGAAGATATATATTGACCTAAAAAGGATAAATTAATTGCAAACAATATTATAATACATAAATACTAAACTTTGTATTGAATGAGATAGAAATTTTTTGCAACATGGTTATTGAAAAGTAAAAATTTCATGCGAAAAAAAATATATATATATATTGATTAAAGAAAAATATTAGCGGTAACTACAATTAAAATTATATTATAAAAACACTGTAAACAAAATTAAATTGTGAGGATAAATAGATAAATGAAATATTAATACCTAATAATTACTGATAAGTAGAAGTTTTATAATAAAAGATATATATAATGTGTAATTCGAAAAAAATTTATAAGCACTATCAAAATTATGACACATAAATATTGAACTTTAAACTAAAAAAGAATACAAAATATACTAAATAAAGAAAGATAAGGAAAAATATATAAACAATTAACCACCTATGACAAATTTATTAAATTAAAAAATTAACTATAAATGGTTAATTGACACTAAATATAATAATAATTAAAAGTCCAAACAGTTACCTCCTTGTGACATTCGTACATGTATGCATGTATGCATGTATGCATGAATGCATATATAAAAGCAAAATATGTTCTAACTTAGAATAAACCGGTATGATCAAAATTTAAATACGTTAAAAAAATTAATTGATAATATAAAATAAGAATGTAAAAAATTAAAAGGTTAGGCTGTTAAGATATTAATATTTATACATAAGAAATAAAGAAATAATTAAAAAAATATAAATAAATATACACTACAAGATAATATAAATATATAAACTAATTGATAAAAAAAAAAAAAAATTATATAAATAAAGCTTCATTTAAATCGTTATAAACACTTAACTGTTAAGAAAAAAAAAATGCCACCTCTTCGTGTTTTACTTCCACGACCAAGTAAAGACAATCATTTGGAAAATTTTATTTGGGACAAAAACCCAAATGAAGATGCACCTTAGCAAATAAATGATTAAGATTACATAAAATAAGTCTAAATTATCAAGAAACAAACTCAACCATTCATCATTCTCGCATTTGTTCTTATTGTGATACTAAACTTTTTACAAGTGAAACCAAAGAAATATGTTGCAAATCTGGAAAAATTATGTAAATAATAAAAAACAAAGTAAAATTATTACAGAAATTGTGAAAATTTAAGCCAACTCTTCCCAACGATCATTTAAACCAAAAATCTAACTAAATAAAAAACAAAATTTTTGTTGAAGAGACATGGCTTTGAAGTGGTTTGTCTAGAGGTCAACATTATTTGCCTTTTGAGACTTCTCTAAAGAGACATTTGGTATGCAAGCCAAGAGCGTTATTATACAAGATAACTGGCAGGTGGTGCCTTTGTATAAAAAATCTTGGTGGTGTTTGGGGTCGGCCCCATCTCTGTCAATAAAGCTATCTAGCTGTTACTTCGAAGAAGAACACAGGGAAAACAACAAAACTTGTGTTTTTTTTGAAGCCGCACTCCTTTACTTGGTTAAGTGGTACTCTTCTCACCTTCTCTCGTTTTTTTTTTGTCAGTCTTCCAAAATTTTCAAAAAAAGTGGGGATTTGGCTTACCCCCTCCAAAAGATCAGCATTGTTTATATTCCAAATTCGGATAGACTCAGTAGAATGCAACTATGTGATGTGTTTATTTATGGATACAGTGCTACCTCATGGGAGTTGGATCAGGACCCCAGTTAATAAAATATCCGATGCTGGTCGGTTAGTCAGAAAGGAAAATATATGTTAAGGCAAAGCTTTACAATAGAGATATACAACTGTTGCATTTGTTATATAATTTTTTAGCCTTGCACAGGTTATAATAGTACATTCTGGTTATGTAGAGAGATGAAATTTCTCTCAAATTATTATCTTTTTTCTATAAAATGTTTTTTTATTTTTTCCTGTTTTTTCTTTTTTTAGGTTTTTTTATTTTTATATTTCGTTCATTTCCCCTATTCCTTCTTTCATATCTCCTTTTTAGTCATAGGTCGTTTTCTTTTTTTTATAGATTTTTTGATAAGATAATTCTGGTTTGTCTACGAACTAGTGCAACGGGTTGCATTTAGGACTGTAAGGTAACCGAGTGAAGTTGTGCTTTGAGTTCTATAAATTAAATGTATATAGTTTTTATACACATTTTGATAAAAAGCAAGCTATAGCAAAACCCATGAAGATTAAAAAAAAAAGAAAAAAAAAATTACAGAAATTGTATTTTTATATAACCAACACTCTATCATAGATTAGCACCAATCGAAGATACAGCACCAATGAAAGAATTATTTACCAGACGTGATAATGTAGGAAGTGAATTCTGCAAAAATATTCATGCTTATAACAACATTTTCGCTTTCACATCTATAGGAACTAAATTAGATGATGAACTTGCTAATGGTAAAAATATATATAATTTTATTTCTGTAGAAATAATATAATTAAATTATTAACTTCCTATTAGATAAAGAAGAAATATATATATTCAGGATTCATAGAGGAATTTATCACTCTATAGGATCTCTTATCCCTAATAACAATGAAAAACCAAAATTTATGCAGTTATATATTTATGACACTGAGCACGAAACGAATAACAGGCTTGCTATTATGCCTGAACTCTGTCAAGATGTTTTAGAGATTATCAAATTGATATTAGATCAGTTTAACCTGTTTGTTACTAATTTTCACTCAATTGCTATACATAATAATATAACCAACCTACGTCTTCTTTTCAGAGCTAACTATGGCTTGGATCAAAGGAAATACAATACTCAAACTGCTTCACAAGTAGCAGCTATATGGGTAGAAGGTTACAATCCAGAAGGATTCATGAAACGAGATATTATTGTAAAATCAAGATCCCAAGGCTTACAATATATTTCAGAACTGAGTGGCTCTTACAATATCCGCTTTTTTTCCCATGTAGTAATTATGGTTGGCATCCGGGATAATGCAAAACACAACTCTGAAAAAAGTAACAACCAAACAATACTACTCATACAAATTGCAAATACATCAAAATTCTTCAACATTGATTCATTATGCCGGATGACTTTTCCAACAATACGTGGTTGATAACTATGTCAAAATAGAAACTGAACGGCTTAATTTAATCAGGATAAGCTTCATAAAGAATTATATCAAGGCTTGCATGATTTTTATCAATCTGGAACAACAAAAGTGTCGAAAATAGGAACTCGAACCATATTACCATCATCCTTCATAGATAGCCCTCGAGACATATACCAATGATACTTAGATTTAATGGCACTGGTACAGATTTTTGGTAAACCCAATTTATTTATCACTATTACCTGTAACCCCAAATAGTCAGAAATTTCGACTGAGCTTTTACCAGGACAAACCTCACAAGATAAACCTAATCTCGAAGGTATATAAACATAATTTATAATATATAAAACCAGAATTTAGTAATAAAATTAAAATACTTTAAACAAAAGCTATTAACTATAGCAAAATTTGAATTAAACACCTTAACCTAACAATTATCAGAACTAAATTAAAGTATATTAGAAAAATTTAACAACATTTTAGCATATAAATAAATATATAAACTATTCATATATACGAAATATTATAATTAAAAATATAAAATTTAGATACTTATTTTGCTTAAAATTAAATTTAACTAAAATAGATTTTATTTAAAAATTTTGTAGCACGAATATTTCACGCTAAATTAAAAGAAATAATAAAAGATATCACCGAAAAGAATATATTTGGTCAAGTAATAGCTTATATGTATGTTGTGGAATTCCAAAAACGTGAACTTTCACACATGCATTTATTGATAATTATTCATCCCGATGACAAACTTCGAGAAGCTGATGATTACGATACTATAGTATCTGTAGAAATCCCCGATTGAGAAATGCAACCAAAATTATATCATACTGTCATCCTTAATATGATGCATGGCCCATGTAGTCATTTCAACCTTGAAGCACCTTGCATAAAAAATAATATGTGCACTAAACGTTACTCCAAAAAATTTGTTCCAACAACAAAGGAAGAAAGTAATTTTTATCCAATTTATCGACGCTATAACAATGGACGAAAAGTGTTATGCAGAGGTGTATGGTTAGACAATCCTCTACAATCCTTATTTATCAGTTAAATACAATTGTCACATAAACATTGAAATATGCTCAAGTATAAAATCAATCAAATATTTATACAAATATGTGTACAAAGGTCATGATAGAGCTACCCTTAGAATAATTAATAAAAATAAAATTGATCAATACCTGGATGCTTAGTGGATCTCTGCTCCCGAAGCTTGCTGGCGAATATTTGGATATGACATATCACATATCAACCTATCAGTATATCATTTGCAAATCCATCTTCCACAACAACATATTGTAACTTTTTAACAGAACCTAATCAATAACGAACAAAATGAAAAAACAATATTAACAGAATATTTTAATATGAATGCTACTGATCCTGATACTAAAAATTATCTATATCATGAATTCTCATGTTATTATGTATGGAACAAAACTACTAAAAAGTGGACAAAATGTTATCAGAGAAATGTGGTAGGAAGAGTGTATATGGTAAACTCGAATGAAGGAGAAAAATATTACCAGCGTCTACTTCTCAGTTATGTGAAAGGCGCCACCTTATTTTCTGACTTAAAAAAAATTAGGAACTATGTTTGCATGACATTTCGAGAAAGTGCATTAAAACATGAAATAATAGAAGATGAAAACCTAAATTACAACACTATGCGAGAAGCTACACAATTTAAAATGCCATATGCTCTAAGACAACTATTCGCAATCATACTAATATTTGGTGAACCCGGGAATGTAAAAGGTCTGTGGAATAAAAATTTTATTGCCATGTTAGAAGACTTTTCCAGGCAAGGTATTCCTAAAGGCCAACCACAAATAAATGCAATACTTTATCACATCAAAAGTATTTTAAAACAACATAATAAAAACCTGGATTAATTTGACCTTCTGCTCCTCAATATACTAAACGAAATCAAAAAAATTTACCCAAGTTAATACAAGAAGAATTGTACTTTTTGATAAATTGAATGATTTACAAAAAATTGAATTGTTAAACAATGATCAAAGAAAAATATATGACAAGATCATAGAATGTATCCACAGAAATCAACCTGGTGTTTTTTTCATCGATGGTCCTGTAGGATCTGGTAAAACCTTTCTTTATATTTGTTTACTTTGCAAAATTCGATCAATTTCATATGTAGCACTTGCAACAGCTTCATCAGATATCACCACATTAATAATGCCCGGAGGACGAACTGCCCATTTCAAGTTTAACATACCTCTAATGCTTGACTCTGACTCAACATGCCAAATCAGCAAGCAAAGTCAATTAGCTTCCTTAATACGTATCTCTAAAATAATAATATAGGATAAAATTTCAATAGTAAATCATAATGCTATAGAAGCCTTAGATAAAACCCTTAAAGACATAATGAAATATGAACTTCTATTTGGTGGAAAATTGATCATATTTGGCAGTGACTTCTGCTAAATACTGCCAGTTATACCAAGAGGCAGTCATGAACAAATAGTAAATGCCATTCTGAAACATTCTTCTATATAGTCTAAGATAGAAATTTTCTACCTTTATAATAATATGAGAGTCCAAGACAACCCAGGATATAAAAGCTTTAAGAACTTTTTACTGAATATCGGTAATGGAACTGAACCAACAATCAATAATAACATGATACGAATACCTAACCAGATAGCTATTCCATGAAAAAATGAAGAAGCTTTAAAATTATTGATCGAATATATCTATCAAAACCTAACTGACTATTGTACAGATATATCCTACTTCAGTAACTGTGCAATCCAAACAACTAAAAAAGAAAACGTTGAAAACATAAATAACATGATCTTAAACAAAATTCCTGGTGACACTATTATATATCGAGGTTATAATTCTGTTCCTGACGATATACATGGACTTTATCAACAAGAGTTTCTTAACTCAATAACACCTAATAGTCTCCCACCTTATGAACTATGCCTGAAAGTAGGTGCGCCAATCATGTATTTACGTAACTTAGATCCTGTGAACGGTTTGTGCAATGGTACAAGACTAATCTGTCAGACCTTTCAACCAAACGTAATAGAAGCTACAATAACAACAGGTAGTCATAAAAGAAACAAAGTATATCTACCACGAATTTCATTATTTTCATCAGAAAATATTCGACTTCCTTTTAATTTAAAAAGAAAACAGTTCCCGATTAGACTTGTATTCACACTTACTATTAACAAATCTCAAGGTCAGACTATATCCCGCATAGGTCTTTATCTTCCCAATCATGTATTTGCGCATGGACAACTTTACGTTGCAATTTCACATGCTCAAAATTAACATGACATAAAAATATTGGTAAAGAATAATAATATTCCTGGTAAACAAGGAATTTACACATGAAATATTGTCTATAGAGAGATCTTATAAATTATAAATAAAAATAAATTCAAAAAACCTATATATACCAAAATATTATTAGCATAACAATAAAATTTCTTTGAATTATTATGCATCACAGAATTATTATAAACCACTAAACACCTTATTTACTTATTATTTATAAATTCTATAAAATATATATATTAATCACCTTATATAAATAAATAAAATATGACAAATAAAAACAAATCGAACAAGTATAACCAAAATAACCAAAATCAAATATAGTTACCCAATATAACTTACCAATACATATATCCATTAAATTAGATTTTTACTATATTGTCACGGGCAGAATAAATCGTGACCACCTAAAACGTGACCCAAACGACGATCGGGTCCCAGATCGGTGAACGA